TATTATAATTTATAAAATTCCATTCTATTTTGTGTAAAAATATGTTTTTTTTTTGTTAAAATCAATTTACATCCTTCAAAATGATTATTTAAAAATTGTGTATTTAAAATAGTCCCAATAAAAAAATATGCAAATTGAATTTAAAATTAAAATAATTCAATATTTATTTTTTTCAAAACTTGTAAATAGAAAATATTTAAAATCCAGTTATTAAATCAACAATTTATCTATTTCTGCATTCAAATTATTTAAGAAATGACAAAAATGCCTACTTTAGAATTCTATATACTCTACCGGGTGCGCCTCAAAAGTTTTTTATCCCCTGTAACTTTTTTATTTTTTCAGATAAAAAAACGAGCTTTGGTATGTTAATATATGACATAAATTAGGATTTATTGACGTATCTAACTGTTTTTTGGTCACTTCCGGAAATGACTACAACTTTTGATTTTTAAATGGCACCCTCTGTATGTTTTTACTTTATTCGATAGAAAATGACACTCTGAATAGAATGACATATCATATGTCAACATTTTCGCATATGGTTTATTTGAAATTGTGACATGCGGTTCACAACGACAATTTGACTGGAAATTTCAAGTGTGTGGTACCAAATTATTCGTAAAAAAATGATTTTTCGAAATATTCTAATGAGCCACCCTTGTTCCATTTGAAAAAAATTGAAATATGATTTAAAATACGATTTGGACATCTTTTAACCGCGGCCAGGACAAGACACGAAAAACATTAGACGATCAAATCTATTTTTTTCAAGGCTGCTTAATTAAAAATTAGTGTTTTTAACACAGCCATGGCACTCTAGATTGAAATTTAAAATACGATTTTTTAAGCGAAACATTTGGTCTTGATCTTTACATCCAAAATGTGGTCAAACTATATTCATGAACGAAAACTTTTTTAAACTGTGTAATAAATAATAAAGAAGATCCATTTAGATTCTACATCAGATCTATGAAACTAGTACTAAATATGACTTGAAGTAATATAATTAAAAACGCATCTGAAACGACTGAACTATTTTAATTGTTTTTCGTTCTCAAAGTATTAATTATTACCGCTAATTTTTTTGCGCTGATTTTGCTAATTAAAACAATTTTTTAAACAAAACAAATCACTCTTCCCTACCTAAAACAGCAATTAGAGGTATTTAACCTAAATAAACACACACCGCGTGTTTAAACGGACCGAACGTGTCAAAGCTTCCGTTTGTACACTAGTCACTACCGGTACTTTGTTGAAATGTTTGCGGTACTCGATCGAAAAGAATGTTATCGGCTTCATGGTTAAATCGGAACTGCTCATCCGTTTGCTAAATTTCTTATAAGAATGCGTTTTTGCACTATTTTTAGTCAAAAACGATAACAATAGATTTGCTAAGACGATGTAAATTCCAGTAGTTATTCCATATACAGGGTGTCACTGCCTTAGTTTGAAATAGAAATTTATAGAGAGCAGTAATATACAGAATGGTCCGAATTGTATTCGGCAGTATATTCTGCAGATAAAAATAAGTAAAAAAGTTCGTATAAATCTAGGTCCTAAAATGGTTCGTTTTCGAGATACAGGGTGTAGAAGTTTCATATTTATTTCGATTTTTTTCGTATAATTTATGAGCTAAAGCCGATATTTGGATGAAAATTGGCGTCTGGGTGTTTTTTGACATGAGAAATTCGATTTCGATGTCAGTATGATTCCTACTTGTAGAGGGCGCCACTTACATAAGAATGACGCAGTGGCGGACTAAGGGGGGGGGCGGAAGGGGCAGTCTGCCCCGGGCCCCGTCTTTTAGGGGGCCTCCAAATCTTAGGATTTTTTTTAATCAACTGGCAAACAAAGCCAATATGTGTTCAGTAGTTATTAAGCAGTTTGTAGGTGGACTATGCAAACCATACGTATACGCCAACTATAAACAGTATAAATGGAAGCAGATATTTACTTAATTATCAATTATCAGGCCCCAGTAGTTGTGATTGGCATTTTCTATTTAGGAAATTAAATAAAGGGATAATTTTTTTGGTTTAAAATATCGAATAATTATTATTTTTTATATACATATTTTGAGACTGAACTTATTTATTTTAGCTTTTAAGTTATTTTTCAATGGTTTCATTATTTATTTTTACTGAATAAACATTTTAAATTACATCCAATGCACAGCATAACTTGTATTCTAGCTTCTTTAACCGATGATGAGCAGTGAAGTCTTTGGTGTAACGGGGGCCACGGGCCTGAGACAGAGAAGGGGCCCCTCGGATCTTGGAGGACTTACAAAATCGCGATATTTTGTCGCGGTATTTCCCTGGAACGGTAGCGAAAGTAACGCGGCTCATATGTAGAACCGGTATTTTCATCACTTTGTCATCATAAGTTGCCATTAAATACATGCAAACATTGTTTTATTACATCAAATTGCATTCGTTTTTCAATTTGAAAATATTATAACCTTTAAAAAATTGATGTTATCGTTTTTCTGCAGCCTTTTTAGAGCTGGGGCACTTAATACTCCTGGGACCAGGGCCCATCAGATCCCTACGTAAAGACGACACTCCTGATGAGTAACATATTTATATCTATATCGATTTTTATTATAATTATTACAGTATACAGAGTGTCCCAGACTGAGCGTGCATTAGAAGTTTTTAGAGAACCACAATATCTAGATCGAAGTTTTTCTGCACATTATTGTTTTACAAGATCTATCGATTAAAAATATTTTCAACATGGCGACACCTCCGGAAATACCGGAGTTTGACAGAAACTTTCTTTTTTTAAATGGTGTAAATATAAAAAGTGGATTTCCATTTGAAAAAAAAATGATTTATGATAATTTTTTAATCGCTCAATTCCATGACATCTGCTGCGGTCATTATTATATGACATTCGGACTATTTAATTTTTGGCATAGATAGCCACATGTCTTCTCTTTATGGTACAGTGGCTGTGGCAATCACTAAATTTGACATTTAGGCTATATACATATTATTGACAAGTAGTTTTTTCCTCCAAAAATTATAAATATTTTTTTTCTCAAAAACGGTGAACGTTTGGTTAGAGTGTTTAATATCAAAATTCATAAAATTTTACAGAGAATTTAAGTAAGTAATAAAAAATGCGGTCATCCATTTGAAATAAGAAAGTTGCTGTCAACTTCCGGTATTTCCGAAAGTGCCGCCATATTGAAAATATTTTTAATCGATAGATCTCGTTGTGAAACAATGATATGCACAAAATCTCGGATCTAGATATTGTAGTTCTCTAGAAACTTCTAATGCAGGCTCAGCCTGGGACACCCTGTATAAATACTTCAATTTTGTCAACCATTATACATAAGTCATTCAATTTTTACAAAATGTGCATTAGAAGTATATCATTATCTGAACAGACCGGGGGCCATATTTAGCTTTGCCTCCCCGGGCCCCCGATAGGCTTAGTCCGCCACTGGAATGACGTTCTAACATTTTACAGTATAGTATTACAGTACTGAGCGAAAAAATATACATCCCCGTCAATTTTTGCTCTTAGTTCTCCAGATATTTGAAATCAAAATAGTCAATACTTACTTATTAATATAGATAGTTATTTATAGTTATTAATAAATATGAAATGTGTTTGTGCAAAATATTCGACAGAAACTGTTATCGCATTTATCTATTATTATTATATCGTATTTGTTTCTAGAAAAATTCATGATTAGCTTAAAAAAATAAAAAAATCCCCAAATTGATCGTTTCAGTCAATAATATCTAGTCAACATGTTTATTTTTTATCAATAACGAGATGTATTGACTATTTCCATTCCAAACATCTTGAAAACGGTTACATGTAGTATTTTTTACATAAAAAAGACGGAAATGTATATTTTTTTACTCAGTAGTTTTATACAGGTACGGATGAAAAGTTATTACTCTTCAAATCAGTTAAAAAATATGTAGGTGGTGCCCCCTACAAGTAGGAGTCATATTGACATCGACATCATATTTCCCATGTCAAAAAACACCAATTTTCATCCAAATATCAACGTTAGTTCAAAAATTATTTGGAAAAAATCGAAATAAAAATTAAACTAACCTAAACCCAAAATTACATTGAATCCAGAAATCCTATTTATATTAATATGTGAATATTCAGAAAAAAAAATCATTATAATCCTATACTTTGTGTTGTGTATATTTTAATCTAAAAAATCAGTTTAACCATAGTAACTGAATCTAAAAATCTCTAAATACAAACATTCCATTCGATACCAGACTTTTTTTATGCGCTACCTTCATTTTCATGTTTAGGTATTTATTAAAAAAGACATATTTTGCAATATTAAAAAATCGATCTGTGTACAGGGTGAGTCGTAAATAAGTACAAATATTCTTAAGGGTGGTATATTTCGACCCCAAGAACACGTCTATAAGGTTTTTTTTGACAAAAAAGATGTTGAAAATCGTGCATTTTTTAAATTTTCCTATATATTTTAGAAAACTTTTTAGAACTGCCTGGCTTATCGCAAATTTGCCCATGGTATAATTTCTTAATCTCTGAAAAATACAGAAAATCAAAAAGCTCAGCAAATACAGTACATCTGCTGGATCTGTGTCTATGAAAGGAATGCGGACAAAAAACATTTAATTTGATTTGACGAGTGCGTCACCGCAAATGGCAAATTTGTTTAATTTTTATTGATGGGACGCGTCGTCTGTTTTTTTACGAAAAACATCGAGAGAATATCGTTTCCCCTCTCACGGATTCCCCATAGTTACAGAACGGACGGACGCACAGTACATGCTGTCCGAAAATTTTTAAAAATAAATATATTTTTTTTAATTTTCAAACCTGAATAACTCGGTTATTTTGGACTTATTTGAAAAACGGCAAAGAGAAAATATGTTTCTTTAATCGATATCTACCAGCCCTAAAAATATTTGTACTTGCACTTTGCAAACTCACCCTGTATTACTTAATCTAAAAAGAAAACAAGAATTACTAACCTCGAGTCTTTCTGTTGCTTTCCTCAATCTCTCATAATCCACGGTACCCTGAACAGTCAGCAACTCAATCATAAAATCAGCTTCCTGGACGCTCTGTTGTACCAACTCCAATTGTCGTTCGAATCGTTGCCACAAAGTCAATCTGCTCCTCAGCAATGCCAATATTTCTCCGCATCGTTTCTCCAACGCAGTATGATCGTCTTGGAGTTGAGAAATTTCCTTCTCCACCTTCAGAGGTGATACAGTTGCCCTCAGCCTCATTGGAAGTGTGTGCAGGAGTTGACGAGCACTCATCAGGTCTTGCCAGAGAGTAACTAACTCTTCACCGACTTCGTAACAATCGTTGATGGCTTTTTCTATGGCGTCGCTTCCCATTTTTTCGGTACCTTCACACTGATCCAAAGCTTTGTCCAGTTCAGAATGTTTCCTTCGTACACGTGCTAAACCTTTCTGGATGTTTTGTAAACGTTCAGTAACAAGAAGCCCTCCTTGGAGTTCTTCAGATATAACTGATTCCAAACGATTGGACAAAGCTAACAAACTACCAACTTTATCTGATTCGGTAGCTGACAACAATCCTAACTTTCCAAGTTCGTTTTGGATAGTGTCTAATCTCGATGACATAATCTGCAACCTCTCAATATACAAGCTCAGTTCTTCTTCAGTCTTGATCACTCCACCTAAACTATCTACGTCTTGCTTGAGTTCTTGAAGCTCTTGTTCGAGTAAAGCTAGCTTTTCGTTGACAGATATGTCAGGAGCGGAGATAGTACTCATGATGGACGAATGAATACCGTTTATTTTGTCTGTTACTTTTAACCATTCTGTTTGGAGTTCAGAATGGAATTTTCTTTGGAGCATCTCGTCCGAAACTGGTACGATTTGAAGGGACTTTTCAAGGGCTTTAGTCGAATTCTGGCGGGCTGTATTGTGAACTTCATGTTGTGCTTTTAATTCCTAAAAAACACATAATATATTTTATTAAATTTTACATAAATTATATGATTAAAATGAACCAGGAATCTTAATGCTATTTTGAAACTTACCCAGAATTGTCTGATATGCCCTCGAGGTCCAGGAATCTCCATTTTCTTCAACTGCACTTGAACATCTCTTAACCACGTCTCAACCTTGTCACTCAGTATATTGTAAATACTCCAAGACTCGCCAAATGATAAAAGTCTTGTTAGGTTACTCTGAACGTCTTCTTGTAACCTCGTAATGATCTCCAGAGATTCTACGTATGTTTGCTCAATTCCTGAACATTCTACCAGCTCTTGTAATTTTACAGCAACATTATGAAGATGTAACAGCTTAGCATGATGATGAGAGATGTCTAGGGCTAACGAATTACATAAATCGATATATCTGTCATAATCAGACGACGTGACGTTGTTGAGCTCAGGTACACGTTGTTGGGCAACTTGTAACCATCTGATTTCCTCTCTGGTTCCTTGTTCCAAAACGGTCCATCTTGAGGCAGCCAAGGACATTAATTGGAATCTTCCGGTTGATTTGTCGAGAATGATTTTCGATCTTTCGTACAAGTCTTGATGCAATTCAGAATGAATAGCTCTAGTTTCCGAATCTAGATTTTCTTCCAGAGATTCCAGAATAGCTCTACAGTGGCTGAGATTAACGAATATCTTGCGATGAGTTTGCATTTCGTCCTCTAGATGTTCGAGGTTTCTAACGGATACAGGACTTTCAACCAGTACCCCTGCCGATTCAATAATTTGACTGAATTCTTTTAGAGTCTGTTCATAATCATACGCGAGATTTAGTAAAGTCAAAGCTTTTTGTCTCTCTACGTCGATTTGTTGTTCAAGTTGTTTGCTGAGATCGTGGTTGACGTAGACCTCATTTGGAATTTCCCTTCCTGGATAATCTCTCAACAAACATTTTGCAGTAGCGATTAAATTCACTGCTTTCAAAATTATATTTCTGTTTTCATTTTCTAGTTCTTCTAATTCGTTCAGTTTAGTTTGAGGAGAAGCGTCAGACTCTTTTAAATCACTAAGTTGACGTGTTAGGGTATGTATACGTTTAGTAATGTTGGATACGCCATCAATAAAGTCATCCCACCTCTTCAGATCTCCAGAAGCTAGTTGTTCATTCTCTTCAGTAACATCTTCAATAATTTTGACTTGTCGTTGCAGAGAATCGATATAACTTTTCATTCTCTCTCTATCGTCTTCGTTATAAATTGTATCTGTTTGTTGCAGGACAAATTGAAGCTCCTCGACTTTTTCTTCTATATTAACAATTTCTTCTTTCAAATGATTGAATTCGTTCACGCGTTCCTTAGATGGACCCTCGGAAGTTTGTTGTCTGTTAACATATATTCTGTATTCAATAGTTTCTAACCAAGTAGTTATCGTTTTTACAGTTGTTATCACAGATTGTTGAATCATATCTACATCACGCTTTTCAACAGCTTCCTTCAATTCCTGTATGTTTTGTTGCACATTTATGTTTCTTTGCTCAACACTTTGTTCAATAATTATTTCGTTCAAAGTAGCTATATACAGGACACTACTTAAATGAGTAGTTGTCCTAGCATTTTGAAGGTTCTTAATTCTTTCCAAAGATTGAGCCTGGTTCCATCTGATGTCTACTTCATCAAATGATGCTGGACCTCGTTCGGCTATTGTACTCTCAGCAGGTTGCCTCCAGGTAGAAGTAGAATAATCTGGAGGTGACAAAGGTGAGTCTGAAGCTGGCGTCAAAGGAACGTCTGTTATTATAGAGGGAGCCTCCACTTCCTCAATTGTAACTGTAGCGGCATGTTTTGCTTTTGTCCTAGTTTTAACTGGTGGCTTTTGTTTAGACTCATCACTTCTTACAGTTGGTTGTTCTTCTGTTATAACTGGTTTTTCAGCAGAAGTTGTTTCCTTTTCTGAAACTTCTACAGTGAAGTCCTTAGTTGAAATATCATCAATTTTAACTGGTTTATCGTTTATTAAAACAACATTTTCTGGGCGACTATCAAAGGTATTAGTGGCTGTTTCATGCTCTTGTTCTTTTGTTAAAAACTCAACAGTAGAAGATATATGTGATTTATTTCCCTGATCTGCACCTACTAGAATTTCTGGTTCGGGTGTCTTTTCTTTAAATTCGGCCTCGGTTAAAATTGACTCCACAGTAAATGTTGCTTTTTGAGGTTCAATACTGTCTTTTTGTTCGACTACTGTATAGGTATCTTTAGTAGCTAATTCAACATCTTTCGAAATGTTACCAGAAATACTCACATTTACTGTTACACCAGAATCAACATCTGAAAGAGATATATCTTTTGTTGGTTGTATTTGATCGACAGGCGCTTTACTAAGCTCTTTTATTTCTTGAACCTTTTCTTCGGGAATATCCGTAAATACTTTTGAAATAACTTGAGCCTCTTGGTGCTCATATGGCTGAGGAATTAGTTCCGGTAAACTAGTCGGTTCTTCTAATATATTTACGGTTTTGGTGAGTTCTTTAAAACTTAATCCCTTCTTAGTAACATCGGAAAATGTAACGTTGCGTTTGGGAGCGTCAATTCCAGATGCCTGTCTGTGAAATACTGAAAATTGATCTTTTTCTTTATTGTCTGATTCTTCCGATTCTTTCGGTTTCTTGTGCTTTCTACGTTTTCTTCTTTTCTTCTTACCATCACCTTCGCGTTCTGAGTCCAGGAAAGTAATAGTTTGATTTTTAACTTCTGCACCTTCGACATTAACTTCAACATCGAACTCTCCAGACGAATAGTCACTAGCTGACTCTTCTGATATTTGTTCAGAGATTTCTTTAGACGGTTCAGTAATTTCCGTCACTTCAGATAATGAAATTACATCGGAACTGTCAGTGGGAACTGTCAGTACTGCTTGAACTTGAATTTCGTATTCCTCGCTGGAACTCTTAGTTGGCGTTGGAGATGGTGTAATAGGAAGTTCTCCAATTTCGCTAATTATAACAGGACTAGTTTGAACAAGGGTCTCCGATGTTTCTACTGGTTCTATTGGAATATCTTCCCGAGGTGAAACGATAGGAGATACAATTGGAGTAGTTTGAGTAACATTTTCAGTGGTTTCTATAGTAGTTACTTCTGCAACCTGTTGTGGAGCAACAACAGGTTCTGATTGTATTGGTTCTGGCTCCGGAGATGTTTGTACAGAGAACTCAGAAACACTTGGTTCGGCCTGACTTGCAATCTCGCTAGACAAGACAGGCTCTGGAGGATTAGTTTGTACAGCGTTTTCTTTACTGTCGACTACAACTGTTTGTATTGCTGACTCGCTTCGTTCACTTGGTGGTTCCGGTGTTATGGTTTGAACATTTTCATCAATTACTTCCTGTTTTTCTGGCGTTACTGTTTGAACGGAAAATTCAACGGTTTCTTTAATCTCTTGTGATATTTTTTCAGGAGATACAGGCTTTGAAGTCTGAGTTACAGTATCACTTGTTTCAGTTATAATTTGTGTTTCTGATTCTTGCATTTCAGGTCGGACAGATACGTCAGCTTCAACAAAAGTAACTTCTTCCGGTTGAGTAAAGGCTTCAGCTGTTTCAGTTGGAACTTCAGGCGAAGTTTGTGTCGACGCTGGCCCAGTTTCATATGGCTCTATTTGTCGTGGTTGAGTTTTAACAGGTTCCTCCAATGGTGGAGTTGTTTGAGAGACAGTTTCTTGAGTAATAACTGCTTCAATAATAGGGACAGTAGTAACAATTTCTGTTACAATATTCTTGGGAGATTCACTCTCTGGTCTAAGAACTTCTTCTTCTATGATTTTTACTGTACCTGGTTCTGACTGACTAGAAATTGTACGATATGTGTCGTTTGGAGATACAATAATTTCTTCGTGGGCTTCTAAAACCTTAGTTTCGTCTTTAGATTCGACTTCAGGTTCTGTAGTTTCAACATCAGGTGTCTCATCTTCAATGTTGTCTTCTTCTGTAACACCTGGCTCTTCAGTATCTTGTTCGACCTTTTTCTTGCCCTTTCTACGTTTCTTCGCTTTCTTGGCCGGCTCTTCAATATTAACCGCTTTTTTAGAATCTTCGTCAGCTTCAGATTCTCCGATAGGTGTTGTTTCATAAACAGATTGTGGTACATTCGATTCCTCAGACTCTTTGACTTTCACTTTCTGTCCACGTTTTTTCTTTTTTCTCTTTTTCTTTTCTTGGTCGTGTTCATCGGGTAAACTCTCATCCAACGTTTTATCTGCCTCATAACCAGTGTCTCGAGCCTTCTCAGATATCTCCTCAGATTCGCTAGCAGCTTCGAAAGCTTCTAGTGTCGGTTTAGGCGTTTCCTCTGAAGCCACTGAATCGTCTGCTATAAAAATGTCCGTAGATTCAGCTAGAGATGTATGAGTGGATTCTTCTTTGGTTTCGATTTCTTGTGGTTCTTCAACTGTGCTTTCGCTAGATTGTTTATGTTTCTTTTTCTTTTTACTTCGTCGACCTCCGTGGTCAATGTCACTTGGACTAGAAACTTTCTCATGTTCACTTTCATCTTTTGACGCAATTGGAGATACAATTGGTTCACTCGATATTTTTGACAGAGATTTTTCAATATCTGTTTCTAAAATTGGCGAAGGTTCAATTGATTTTACCGGTGAATGTTCGATTGATTTCTTTTCTGGTTCAAGTATTTCGGGTTCTTTTTCAACGACTTCAGTTTTTGGTTCACTTACTAATGATGTTTCAGACAACGCTAATGAAATTTCAACGTTTTGCCTTTCTTTGTTGAGAAAATCTGATACGGTAGGTACATTAGGTTTCAACTGCGGTGTTTGAAGGATTTGAATTACCGGCTGAGATTCCTGCAGTGATAAATCTATTGATACATTTTCTGATGGATGTTGAACGGTATATGCTTTAATTGTTTCCTGTTCTTTGATCACATCTGGCTCAAAAGATTGAACTGTTTCAGTTGTAACTGTAGTTAAATCTTTTGATGGCAATACTAATTGCTCTGGCTCAACTCTAGTAAATTTGGATTCCAAAACTTGTTTTGCTTCAGATATAGTTGTGCTTTGTAATGACTTTTCTAATGGAATCTCTATTAGATCTGGTGATGGTTCTTTAGTAACAAATTCAACAACAGTCTCTATTTCTGGCTGCTGCGTTACATCTATTGGTTCAGAAATTTTTGTCTCCAGAATTTTAGTTTCTTCTTCAATACTACGCTCAACATATGATTTCTCTAATGGTATTCGCACTATATCCTCTTGCTTTCCATCTAAAACTTGGACGGATGGTTTTTGAGCAGTTTCTTTTTTTACAATTTCTGCAGTTTCTATTGATGTCTGTTCTGGGGTTGTTTTAACTTCATAAAGTGGCACTTGTGAGGTATGTGTTCGTTCACCGGATAAGAAATCTTCTATAATATTTGCATTGATTTCACGAGTGACATACGATGGATAAACCTCCTCAAATGGAGGTGCACTAGGACTATGCTGATCAATGATTGCCCTTGACTCGGTTTCTAAAATTTCTGGTTGGAGATTTTCTGTTTCGGAAATTGATACTTCTATGGGCTCTAATGTTTCGGTTGTGGCAGAAACTGGAACTATTTGTTGCGTTTGTGTAATTTCTACTTCTTGAGTTTCCAAATTAGCTTGATCTTCTTTTAACGAAACAAATTTATCATCTGTCTCTTTAGGTGAAATAGTTACAGTAGTAGCTTCACTTAGGAGTTCAGACAAAGGTTCTTTTACTTTATCTTCAAGAGTATCTAAAACAATTTCTGGGATTGATGTCTGATCTTCTTTTAACGAAACAAATTTATCATCTGTCTCTGTAGGTAAAATAGTAGTTACTGTAGCAGTTTTACTTTGGAATACAGAGAAAGGTTCCTTTACTATGTCTTCAAGAGTATCTCGGACAGTTTCTGTAATTGATGTCTTAATATCAATATCACTTTCAACTGGTTCTTTTTTGGTTTCCTCTTGTAGTCCTAATTCAGTCAATGGAACGTCCTTAACAACTGTTTCTTCAGTAGAAATATTAATTTCTTCCTTTGGTCTTTCATGAGATTCATCAATTCTAATAGTCTCCTCTAAGGTTATTTGCTTTTCATCAGGCGAAATAATATCGACAGGACTTTCAATTATAATTGGAGATAGTGGTTTTTCTTCTGTAGGTGTACTTGTTTCTTTTGGTGCAATTTCTTTTGTGGTAACTACTTCGGTTGGTTTTTTTTGTGGCGATTCAACTTTGGTAGTATCTTCAACAGCCGTTTCTAATTCAACAGAAACAGATTCATCAACATTTGTTATTTTAGAAGACTCGTCACTAGGAGCTTTTTTACGTTTCTTCTTCTTATCTTTTTTACTTTTAGGTGCTTTATCAACGGGATGTGCTTCTTCAATGTTACTACTATCAGGTGAAGGGCTTGCAATTGCCTTTTCCTGTTCGATAAATTCCCTAGTAAGAGAGGAACTTGATACCGAATCTACTTGGGTTTGTGTGGTATCTAATGCTACATGCTCGTCAACTACAGGTTCAGTGGCCACGTACCTTTGGTCTTGTTGTTCTGCAACAGTTTTCTGTAGAAATTCTTGACTTATATCTACTACATTTGATTTTTCTTTAGGACTGGAAGTTTTGAACACTGTCTCTGGTTTGGTTTCGCTTGTAATAACTGTTACACCTTCGGGTACGTCTTCTTTTGGCCTCCCTTGTGCGTCAAGAACCACTGTAGTAGATGAACGAGTAACAGTTACTCCAGAAGGTTGAGGTATCGGCTGATCACCGAACTGTTGTTCTTCGACAATCTTTCCGTCCTGGGTTCTAACCACGTTTATGCTAACTCTAGGAATACCTTCTTCAGTAACTTCGACTTCTTCAGGTTCTTCGATAACTTCTTCCGTAACATGTTCCTTTCCATCAATAATCACGGTCTTCCTAACGATTCTTCGAGTCTTTCGGATAATTCTGCGCCGTACTTGCTGCACGACGGCCCGAACGCTAGAGCTGGTGGTTTGAATGTGACTTCCGTCTAAGGTAAGTTGAGCTTCATCCAAAGGTACCAACTTATTTTGTTCGTTGTCGACTAAAGTTATATCGCCTTGGTGTAATTTCAAACCTTCTATATTAATATTGCCGGGTTTTGAACTACCTGTGACGGAGTAATGAACTTCCGGTTCTGATTGGAACTCTTTGACGTCGACATCACCTTCCGGTCCTCCAGATACGACTTTACCGCCGTACTGTTGCGACGTGAGTGTTTCTTTTCGCCCATCTCCCGAAGCTATGGAAGTACTACTTTGCTGACCTTGTAAAGTTATTTGCGAGAAGGATTGAGTGGTTGGAGGTCCATCTCCTTCAGTTAGAGTTTTCAGTGTGGTGTATTGTTGTTGTTGGACGGACTGTTGTTGCCTAACCACGGTTCTGTGAAGTTTCTTTACGATAATTCGTTTGGTGCCATCGGCATCCACGATAACTTCTGTGGTAGTTTCATCGGGTTCAACGAAAACGGTTTCGAACGGTTGATTAGGCTGAGCGCTGATATTTATTTCGGAGATTCTGGTTTCCGATTCCGGTCTCTTCCTGTAATTTGCTTCCACCTGTAAATCGTCGGGTTCTTCAACGATTGGTTCCGGATCCGCCATGGGTTTGGTCGCTATTTGAATAATATCCTGTTCTCCAGAGGTACGTTTTGATATAACTATCGTCTCTTTTCTAGGTTGTTGTTCGAGTTCGGAAGATTCCGAAAGTTGCGTTTGAATTTGGGCATCGACTGGTCGATTATAAGTAACGGTAAAGTCTTTAGTCAACGGTTCTTCGCGAACTGGTTCAGGTGATGATAGACTTCTCCCAGTTTGAGTATGACTATCTGCAATCGGTTGAGTAGCTTTTTCGGCAGTTATAAATTCCTCGACAATGCTCTTCGTCGGTTTAGCCTCCTCGACGGGCATAGACGAAGAATCCAAGGTAGCTTCCAGAGATAAATCACTGGTTTGAGTTGCCTTGACTCTCTCTTCGCGAACTTTCACTAACTCCGTCTCTAGATACTCTATTTTATGAACGATTAAGGTTTTTTGTTCGGTAAACACTACAAATAAACTATTTAACTGTTCGATTAACACTGTTACTAGATTCTCGAGTTCGGGATATTTCTTAAACTTCTCCAAATCCTTTGTGAGGCGTTTCAAGGCTCTTTCTTTTTCGGAAAGTTCTTGATTTAGCTGGTTAAACCTCAAAATGTAATCTTGTATTTCTTTTTCGTCCGTAGGCGAAACAAAACTATTTATCGTCTCTACAGTCGTCGTTATCCATACTTCTATTTGATGGAGGGCTTCTTGATATTGTTCCAACTCTTCGCGTCTCTTCTTTTGAACCGACTGAGCGTTCTGAAATAAACCAAAGTGTTAAATGTGAGCATTTTCTAAAAATAAAAATGGCGCTTAACATTTACAGATCGAAAATAAATGTAGCGAACTTTAATCTACGATTATTTTATTTTGAATAACTACCTAAAGGTCAGTATATTTATTCTCGATTGTAAATTTATATATTCTAAAGGTATAAACTGTGTTAAATGTTGTATTAGAAAAAGATATATTTAAACCAGAAAACATATCTCAAGGTTATATTAAAACATGATTTAAAACCAATAAAGATGAAATGTATGTTACCTAGACGAAGATTTTACTGAAGAAACTCCAGTAGCAAAACGTTTGGGCTAAATGGATCTTTTAATAAAAATCATCATTATACAGTATGTCCGCGGATTGTCTTTACAAGAGCAAACAATATTTTATTATTAATATTTTGAGAGGAATGTATCATTTTTCATAAAATGTTTTGCTGGTTCTAAAATGGTTGATTATACTTTTCTGAATTCCGATACCGCATAAGAAAAAATTAAAAAAAAAACACGAAAATTGGATGATTTTTTTCCTAAGAATTAATAAAAGATTCAATAGAAGTCCTAAAAATCAAAACGCGTTTCTATGGTAATATAGTCTCGTTTTCATTCTTTGATGTATTGTTATTGCTAGAATTTTAATTAACGTCACATTTTTTGCTGTTCTAAAATGTGTAAGAAGCACAAAATTTATTTAGCTCAGTGTTACGGAAAGGGTGATATAGTCTATAAAATGAATAACTTTGAATTTTGACCGTTATTTTTTACCAACATGGCAAATATAAAATCCCTCTATCCAAAAAGTTACTGATATTCTTTAAAATGAGTGCCTGAACGAATCAGATAGGTAACTCTTTTTACTTTCGTGATATAGAAAAGGAAAATAATAAAACAAGTGACAGTTCTTCCTCTTCTTGCAAAAATTAACGCGAAATGTCATAATTGACAAAAGTAAAATGTCATCAGCCTTTGACATTTCTAAATATCAGACCAATGCCGTCTCTAATAGAACAGCCTCGGAGCGATATTTATGACGTCACGCTAGTTAGATACCACGGATTAATAAATATGTTGTAGAATACACGGAAAACTTAATTATTCCTCGTATTTTTGGTTTGTATTTTAAAAATGATATAGTTTATATGAAATATACATAATATATAATAAATACAATATATATATATATATATATATATATATATATATATATATATATATATATATATATATATATATAATATATATATATAAAACTATATATATACAAATAGCTATTTATAGTAATAAATACTTTGGCAAAAAAACTATGAACCATACAAATGCAGCAAATGTTTTACAATATACAAATAATGAATAGGTGCATAAGATAATGGGTAAAATGTAAAATATATTTTAAATTTTGGGGTTTGAAAATCGATCTAATGTAACAAAAAACATTTAGTATCTACTTAGTAGATATATTATTATTTGCATTCACAAAATTTATATGTATATTTTGCAAGCATCAATGTTCGAAAAATTATATTTGCAAATAATACAATATCATAGAAAAAAAAGGATCAGCGACGGCTATGAAATAAAGATCGCTGTCATTTTATATGTAAAATTATTCTAAAATTTTTGATTTTCTTGGGTTTTAGGTTCGGGAAAAACGCTGATTAAGTTTTCATTTGGTTTTTCATTATTTTTTTTAGTTAAAAAAAAACGTCATAGCTAACGTTTATAGCCTTCATCAGTGTTGTGTCATATGAAAAAAATAGTGTCGAATATAATCCAAAAAATTACATATACGAGGAATAATTACGTTCAACATATTTATTAATCCGTAGTATCTAACTAGCGTGACGTCATAAATCTCGCTCTAAGTCTGTTCTATTAGAGACGGCATTGCATCAGCATGGCCGCAAGTTGCTAACCTAATAAAATATACTAATAAAATATACACTAGAAAAGCCCGCGGGAACTGTCAAGTTCAAAGTTATTCGTTTCACAGACTATACTAGTTATCGGAAAATGTGATACTTTGACAACAGCAAAAACTATGACGTTAATCAGAATTAATAATAACTATCTATCAAAAATACTAGAGTGGCTACAAAAAGATACAGATACATAAGGCTCAAAATGTATTCTATCCATAAAGAGTCAGACTTAAGTCTAGGTTAAGAAAGAATCAGTAACTTGAACAAAAGAATAATGTATGCAGGAGCTGCGTATGATCAGTATGACCGTAAAAAATCCCTCTTTGATCAGAGAGGCCCAACGTTCGAGATATTTACACTATTGAGAGAATTAAGCTTCAATCAGAACCTCAAAATTAGTGGAATAAATTAGTGGTTTCAATTAGCATAGAAGTTTCTTCCTCTAATTTCAATGGAAGCATTCAGAAGGTAAAACTTAGTGGTAGTTATTTTCAATTAGTAAAAAAAGTTAACAAACTTTTAACTTATTCCACTAACTATAATTTTCGATTAGGTTTAGTTTGGTTTGGAATGAACCTTGGTTGTTCTGAATGGACCTTAAAGGAAGATATCAACGTCTTGTAGAAAGTCAATGACCACAGGCCCATCCTAACATATTCATAGACGCCTGTATTAGAACTTAGTATATAATTAAATTAGCAAGATGGTGGTAGACATAATAATTTTCAATGGCATTAGAATATTTAGCTGCATGAATTCTGCTCATCTTTCCAGATAAGAACAAAAATGAAAGTGTTGAAGAAAATACCAAGTTAAATATGGACTTTAACATTTTTTATTGACTTTTTTTATCCTTTTATTAAGATCCTCAAACAATAACGTTGTTAAGTCCCTGGTCAAATGAAACACACGGATGGTTTACACTTTGCTTGCATTAGTCAGTCTTTTTTACATGTCAATGTAACTATCTAAAATCTAGTAGTAGTTGTGTCACTCATGAAACAGAAGTAAATCATGAAAAAATAAAATAAAAGATTGTCATAACAGTTTTTTTCGGTAACTTTTTTGTTGTTTTTAAGTGAACTCGACTTACCAAGACAACTATGCGTCCGTTCTCTGCTTGGGATAATAGAGTAGCTATCCTGGTACGAATTCCAGCCAAATGAGCTGATAGTTCTCTGGTTTCAAAGTCACAGCCTAGTCTCAAAACCTGTCCTTCGAGCTGGATGGCTTTGGTGGCATGTTTCTTCAGTTCGCCGGTGACAAGCTAAAATTATATAAAAAAAGTTTATTAATAACATTGATCGAAAGATTATGAATTATCCTATATCTTTTTATTTTTATCAGTAGATAAGACGTACGGTTATCAAAAATAAGGAATTATTTATTATGACACAATAATTGGCATTGACATTGACTATTGCATCATTAATCCATAGATAAATGAAACAAGTTTAGAGAGTTTAGATTGGAAAGCCCGTCAAAATTTTAGGTCGCAAAATCCCAAAAAAAATAAAAAAAAATTACGGTCGCGACCGTTGTACGCAAAGGTTGAGCGCGATCTGGCGCTGCTATAGCGGTTGCTAAGAACAACCGCAAACACAAACAGAAATAATTTTCTCTTGCCCATATCTCTTGTGAACGTCAGAATCTTCAAAAATTATAAAATCTTTCAAAATCTAAAACGCTCTCATTGAAAAATATTCCGAAATGGAAAAGTGTTTATAGCGTCCATTTCAAAGTAATTATTGCTATCTTGTGAGTTTAATATAAGTTTTATTTACTCCAACCCGTGATAATTGTGAAACAGTGGCATTAAAAACTTAAACAGCTGTGCTGTGAACTATGAACTGCAAAAACCATCGTGGATCGTGGCATAACGTCGGTTTCCAATGTTTCATAAGTATTTCATACCTGTCCTTTGTCCTATATCAAATAAACTTTCTTATATGCAACACACTGTATTTTATTTAAAAAATTAAAAGAAAATAATAAAACATTTTAATAAATAATTTTTGGCGACATAATTCCGGAAAAGGCCGAACCGCTCCGAAATTATCAAAAGCTTTGGGGAGCGACCGTTGTAAGAATAGCGCCAAATAGTATTTACATTGTCCTTATGGGCACTCTCCAATCTAAACTGGTTTCTTTTATCTATGATTCAAATGTCTTTCTGTCGTTATTTTTTTTAAATATTCCTAAAAGCGGATTGTCCGATTCCGATTGGGAAAATGTTGTTTAACCTGACTATAATTTGATGATGGAGTGGGCTCCAAAACTAAGAGCTGACACACAATTTAATATTATTTAATAAATCTGCAGTTGAATAATTATTCTTTTTCGTTTATTTAGATATTTTACATTTTGAAAATGGACTCTGAAATGAATATAACTAAACTTTTCAGACATGTCACTAAAAAGAAGCAATTTTCTATATCTACATACATTAAAGATACCTAAGTGTGCATCTTCTCTCTGTTTTTATATTAAAACTATTTTCGATTTTATATTTCCATATGGACTTTGATTCTAAAATTATACCGAGCTTTGCGCAAAACAAATATACTAACCACAGATAGGTTTATGCGTTTTCTGATGGAAATATTTATGGCATTTCAAGCACTTGCAAAATATTTCTTCGAAAATAACCGAACAGTAAATTATAAACTTCCTCGCGATGAGCGAATCCCTAAGTAATTTGCATAGATATTACAAACATAGTTTTATAACAGTGCATACCATACCATTTTATTTTCATAAATTTAACAAAAAAAACATTTTATCAACTTCTTTATCCAATTTGTAAGTTATATTTTTCAAATTTCTTTGATATTTCAAATAATTTTAGTGTTTTGCTGGTGTTAAGAATGTCAAGTTGCCACATTTATTTATTTTCTGACATTGTCATTCGTTTTGACACTTTAGTTTTGTATAACGAGCTATTGGTTTAAATGAAATATGTTGTGATACTTATTTACATTAGCTTAAAAATGTTTACTAGTAGACTTTGTAGTCGAACATTGTTCTTTTTAGAACCTCTTTTAGTGCGAAGTGTACAAAATAGCTTAATAGCCGTAAAAAACTCATCGCAACTTTATTACAGTACGTCTGTCCGTTCTGTAGCTACGGGGTATCCGTGAGAGGGGAGACGATATTCTCTCGATGTTTTTCGTAAAAAATTAGACGACGCGTCCCATCAATAAAAATTCGACAAATTTGCAAGTAGCCAATAAAATGAGTGGGCGGAGCGATTTGCGGTGACGTACTCGTCAAGTCGACGTATAAAATATATTGCTGTTTATTTAAATGTTTTTTGTCCGCATTCTTTTCATAGACACAGATCCAGCAGACGTACTGTAAAATATTTTGAACCGGAAAACGTTAGTAATGGCACTTAAGTGCTGTTAAGGCGGTGAGTTTTGTCGATGTAAATAATAACCGTTTATATACTTATAATTAATTTATTTTTGTTTTCTAAAATATTTTTATTAAAAGAAAATATGTAAAAGTGAGCAACGATATGCCGGTCAAGCTTAATCACGTGACTAAAAGTTAATTTGATATGAACTGGTAGAAGCCTCCCCAAACACAAAATCATAAAAATTTCTCTGCGAAAATGCATCATTCTCTTTTTTCGGACTTTAGAATAACTGACACTTTTCTTGTGTAGGTATTAATTTAACCTAGTAGATACTGTAATTTAAACATGAATACCGTACCGAGAAAAAAAGAAAATGAAACCAACAAATCAAACCCAAGCAATCAAAACACGCTGTAAGCTAAAAGGCGTCTGTTTACGAATTCCTAATAATTGCCAAGTACTTTTCAAATATTGCTAATATTTTATAAATAAATGAAAATGGTGGCCCGAGTAACTTGGAAGTGACAGGACATGGATTTTGAGTACTATGTGAACAAGGAAATCTTTGTTGTAGACTCTGTGATAAAGACCCTGAAACAGCAGAGCATATAACATGCCAATGCGAGGCTCTGGATCGCAAGGGACACTTTCTATTTGGGAAAGTAAGGCTAGAAATAAAATAGGCCATACAGGGCAGCAGTGTTTTCGGCATAGATGGATTCTGGATTAGATGGATAAATTAATATTGTAATTTACCTAAAGATTATAATTTTAAACTGAAACACTATGGGGATATTCTGTTTATGATACATCTAATTTGAGTAATCGAAAGTACTATAAATGTATTATAATATTTTTAGTGCATGACTAATAAACAAAAATAAGTAATTATGGTTTCGGTAATAAATATAAGTAGAGATAAGCTTTAATTAATTCGACAAATATGTGTATATTTTGTAAAAGTACATATATTACGTATTGTTTTATCAGAAAGGGACCATTAAATATAGATAAACTTATAAAACAACATACTAATAACATTATACTCATATTTACAACTCTACAACACACAAATTATTGGTTGAATTTATATTTTTATTTAGAATACAATAGTAAAATAATTACCTATCGAATGCAATTGCTTGGTAGTTTATATTCTTTAAACTCATTAAATTATAAAGAACTCGTTAAATAAAATATAAATATATTATTCTGTTACTCATTTTATTGCTGATTCGTTTAGTAATAATTTTAGTTACCAGAATAAAGTAATAAAATATTATATTGGACAATGGTACATGCATGAGCAGATTTTATTATATTCCTTGTATATAAACTCTAGGAATAGAATTTCAGTTAATATTTCTAGTATTAGAACATCAAAATAACCCATATAAAACTATTTTCTAGAAATATCGTGAAGAATAAAACAGTTAAATATCAGAATATATGTATGTTTATACTTCATATAAACAACACTGGACTGAAAATCCATGAAAACAAATTCTTAATGACTCTTTAATTAATACTCAAAGTTTCGCTTTTTTCTTTTTTATTCATTTTAATTTAGAAATTACGTCTCTTTGAAAAAATGAACGCCATTTTTAACTTTGTATACAGGGTGTCCCAAAAATAAGTGCAAGTATTTTAACTGGTAGTATAGTTCAACCCCAGAAACACGCCTATGAGGGTTTTTTTCGCGAAAACAAAAAATTTGAAAATTCGGAATTTTTTGAAAATTTTTTTGGGTTTTTATTTAAAAAACATAATTTCTTGATAATATCGCAACATAGGCAGTAGAGTAAATTTACAAGAAAGAAAATCCAGAAAAGATCCAGTGGTTCTCAAAATTTTAGCAAAAAAATCTTTTTTTTTGGAAATTTTTAAAGTAAAATAACTCCGTTATTTTGGAATTATTTGAAAAACGATAAAGAGAAAATATGTTTCTTTTATCGAGATCTACCACCACTTAAAATACTTGCACTTATTTCTGGGACACCCTGTATATGCCAACAGCTTTTCAAATAGCGCCGTTCGGTTTTGAGGATAAACTATATGTACCGTGAACAGGGGCGCAACTAGACATATACTTTTAGGGGGGCTCAAGTCTTTTGGGGAGCTTAGGTCACTATAAGATAAGATTCATGTGAGGTTAAAACCAATTTTATACGATACGCACTGGCCATCTGGGGGCGCTAAGCCCTAGGAGCTAATTTTTTTTGGAAAATTTAGAATACTAAAATGTTTTGAACATTTTTTAGCTTTTAGTTAGAAAAATATTATTTCTTGATAATATGGCAACATAGGTGGTAGATTAGATTTACAAGAAAGAAAACCCAGAAAAGATCCAGCGGTTCTCAAAATTTAAGCAAAAAATTATTTTTTTTTGAAAATTTTCAAAGTAAAATAACTCGGTTATTTTGGACCTATGTATGTGAAAAACGGTATAGAGGTCGATGAATAGTAGATATAAAGAGAAAGATATAAATAGAATAAAAATAGATGAATGGTCACAAAATAATCCTGACCTTCATCACTTGATAACTGATCCAGTACTCTGCCCTCCCGTATTCAAATTGCCAAGAGAAACGTGGACAATACCCAATCGGCTCAGAACTAATCATGGCAGAACCCGCTTCTGGATACACAAATGGGGACTAACCGACAGGCCTAACTGCGATTGCGGACATTCTGAACACACACCTTTTCATATCGCAACAGAGTGCCCATTAACAAAGGCGCAGTTCTCTTTAAATCGTCTTCATGAGGCTGACCTGGATGCTATAGAATGGATCGCAGAGCTAAATCTTGTAGTGTAAATTTATAGTTGTTCGTTTTTACTGTAACATTGTGATATGTCTCTTACACATCTGATTGTTGATTTTTGAATTGTTTATATTTTTGTA